AACAGGTTTCTGTAGGATCCAGTTGGATTTCTCTTTCGTTAGCTGCTGGGTTGGTTGTTTGTTTGGAGTTGTTCCTGTGGCATGAACTTTGACTTGAGTCTGAGTGTGCATTTCTGGTATTCTGATGTAGTTAGTTAATCCTATTATGTCCCAAAGGTCAATCCTGCTTCCCTGGGGCTGTGGCTGATGACTCTTAGATTTTTGGTGTGATGGATTATTGATTCTAGGGATCTTTCTTCCTAATCCCAGTTTCCTGACTCCAGTCTTTCTCACAAAATTATCACATCTGCAATTCTGCAGACTTGGTTTCTGTTTGGGACAGAGAGACTTGGGGGCGGGGTTGGTTTCTTCTTTTAAAATCCTTTAGGAAAATATATTCTGCCTTTTAAATATTTCCAAAAATATTTCTTTCTCAGGGAGGGGGCTGACTTCCCAAAAATCCCCCTTTTGTGCCATAATAGTGTGGATGACACACTTTTACTGGCACAAGATTAAAATTTATCTGATCAGGGAGACTTGGTAAACAAGCTTTAAACTGTTAATGCAAAAAAGGGAGGCACTAATAGAGTTCAACCATGAAGGTCTAAAGCCAGGGCAAAAGTTCTGTTACATGGAAAAGAAATTTATAGTGTCCAATATTCTGTGCCAATTCTTTTTAAATGTTGGATGTCACTTTGAGCTTCCAGTTAGGTTTTGAAGCACATGCCTCTCAAAAGTCTTCACAGCCATGGTCTTCATCAGTACATAACCACTGGCTGCCCATTTTCAAGGGTTGTTTCCTGCCTTAGCTCTTAGTTCAGTTCATCCAGGTTAGTGATGTCCAATTGAGGTTAGCCAGTATGAAAGCCAGGCTATTACATTTTCTTAAATTGCACATAGTGAGCCCTAGGACACCCAATCTGAGTCCACCAGTGCAAGATATTCAGGGCTTAGGTTTGGAGATCTCTTTTCTGCTTCTTCCCTAGTCAGGGCATATGAATTGCAAATCATCTGAGGGGGCCTGGTTCTCTCCCCCTTGGAATTTGCAGGAAGATGTACATGCAAAGTTTTAATGACACAGGGCAAGAATCAGGCTGGAGTTTTACTGAAGGTAGGTGAAAGAGATAGACTCAATGTGATTATGAATGGTGTGTGCGCGTGTGTGTGTGTGTGCAGTTACTAATACAAAACAGGCAATACAAACATTCTGGATAAATTTTCCTCCCACCAGACAGAAATCCAAAGTGTTCAGGACTTGCTGTGCCAACTATTCCCAAATGCCATCACTCCATAAATACATTCAACTGCTTAATTACAACACAAATGGGGCAAGAAAAAAAACCTTACAGTGAGTTTCCACCCCCCCATAGTCTTCCTAGTTTTCTTCTGAGGTTTCATGTGGGGACCAATGGCTCCAGGACTCCTTCCTTCCTCTGCAGCTTTCACAGGCATCTGGGGGAATGGTAGGACTTGGGAAGATCTGTTCCACTCTGGTTGCATGGTGGCTTTTTAGTGGATGGCTGAATTCAAAATCCAATTCCATGGCTCAAATGGATGAAGGAAGCATCTGGGTCAGTGTGCTCTGCTTCCAAAGGTTGGGGGATCATCTGTGTAGGGCTGAAAGACCTGAGAACAAGATCTCCTCCCCCCTTTCAGGGTGGACTCTCCCAGGAGAGGCAGACAAAGGCATGGAGAACAGAGGATAAGAAAAGGGGAAGTAGAATTGGGGGGGGGGTAGCTTGCAGACAGAGTTTGAAAAGGCATTAATACCGCAGTGGTTAAAGAAAGATAGGCAGACAAAATGAGGAAATCACAGATGAGGACAAAAGAAAGCTGGATTCTGGTAAGAGAACATAAATGAAAGGTCTCACTTCTGAACTGAACATTTGCAACATGTTAGGACTTAAGGACCTGCAACTTGAAAAATGCTGGTCGTGTTTCAGGAAAAGGATAGACAGATAAAATCCATTTACAACACATACAGTAAATGCAAGAGTGAAACTTTTCCAGCAGGTGAACTTAAAACATTCCCTCCTGGTAACTTTGAGCTGTTCTTAAGAGTACAGAGAGAGAAAGAGAGAAGAAAGAAAAAACAAACAAACAAATACATTTTTCTTCACTCTGTTTGTTGGCCAGACAAACAGAGTGAGGGTATTTTCCTTTTGGTGGCTTATTTTAAGCAGAATTTTAAAATTCTTTTCTCTTTGGATTAGAGACAATTAACAGTCACATTTGCCTCACACACAAAGACTTTGACACACATATATACACAAAGACAATGAAAAGAGAACAGAAAAGGGAAACAGAAATCTTAGTTTTACATATCCTAGTCATTCTCACCATAAATCTCAGTTAACTCTAATTAAGGAAGGCACAAATCTTAAACATACCACGTGGTTGCAGAGAGAGAGAGAGAGAGAGAGAGAGAGAGAGAGAGAGAGAGAGAGAGAGAGAGAGAGAGAATATGAATCACTATTTCTTATTTTCCCTTTAAGTTCCTTTATTTAGCCAAATTGGTTTCTCAGCAAAGCCCTGAGCAAAGTCTTTTTTTAATAGTTTCTCTACCTATCTCTTTTTCATACCTGCCTGAATGGGTAGCTGATTCCCATTCCAGCCCTCAAGCAAGTTTCCCATTGGGGAGCCTACTATGACCCTCAAGCTAGAGCTTCCCATGTTTCCCTATTCCCGATATAAGGATTCACTTCATCTCCGCTGCGTCCTGGCAAATTTTGGGGTTCCTAGTGAAGCCCCTCTCCCAGTCTACAGTTTTCAAACCAAAAAGAGTTTGGGGGGACTCTGTTTCCTTTTACAGAGTATGGACCCCCCCTCCAAGGGAACTCCACCATCAGTTTTCAGACCAAAAAGGGGTCCGGGAGGACTCCAGCTGCTTTCCGCAGTGAATATGTGCACCTCCTTCCCTGGCCTTTTCCTCTTCCTGTCTTCAGTTTTCAGACTCACTAAAGTTCGGGAGGACCTCCGCTTGCCTCTGAGAGGTATAGATCCCTCCTAGCCCAGGGCTTAATTTCCTAACTTGGGGCTTTGCTTACAGGACTTTACCAGCTAGTTGCCCAAATCCAATTCTCTCATTCACTTATTCCATTCCATTTTCACACAACCTCTCCCTTTTCCCTAACAAAAGGTCCTGCACTCTGGCCAAACCCCCATGCTTTCCAGGGTCTGCCACTTGAACAGATCCTTTCTGCGGTTAGGAAAGGCTAGAGGAAGCAAAATCCAACTGTGATTGGGAAAAGGGTCTTTTCACTCACACACACAGAGACATATACACATTTCCCTCACTCCCCTGGGCTTTAAAGTTAAAATTTAGAGGTATTCACCTTCACCTTCTTTCCAAAGCAGCCCTTGAGTTCAAACCCAAAACTCCCTTTACTACCCTGGCTCCACATGGGCAGGGCCTGGGAAACCCATCCACAGACACAAGAGGTCTGCTGCCGGCAAGATGGGGCTTACCAGTCTCAGCCCATTGGAGAGGTTAGCTTGGAGTCCCATCTGGGGTGCCAAATTGTTGAAGGAAAAGTCTTCATCATGGTTCAGTCCAAGTCAAGAATAAACAACATGGTGACTGCTTTAGAAAGAAGGTTGCAGTTTATTGAAAAGGAGAGCCAGACAGAAAAATGGCTCTGGAAGAAAAGAGAGAGAGCACATGTAGGGAGTGGGTTTTTATACTTTCTTGAGCCTTTTGTTTGGAGTTGTTCCTGTGGCATGAACTTTGACCTGAGTCTGAGTGTGACTTTCTGGTATTCTGATGGTGGTGGGTTAATCCTATTATGTCCCAAAGGTCAATCCTGCTTCCCTGTGGCTGTGGCTGATGACTCTTAGATTTTTGGTGTGAGGAACTGTTGATTCTAGGAATTTTTCTTCCTAATCCCAGTTTCTTGACTCCAATCTTTCTCACAAGATTATCACATCTGCAATTCTGCAGACTTGGTTTCTGTTTGGGACAGAGAGACTTGGGGGCAGGGTTGGTTTCTGCTTTTAAAATCCTTTAGGGGAATATATTCTGCCTTTTAAAAATTTCCAAAAATATTTCTTTCGGGGCGGGGGCTGACTTCCCACAATAGCCTCCATTTGAGTTTATGTCCAGTTCAAATGTTCACTGTCCAAATGCTCTTGCATTTTCTACAAATAAATCTCAGATTTTTTTCAGCTAGCTGACCAAGCCACAAACATTGCAGGCCACGACTACAATGCTGGCATTATTTTATTAGGCCAAAATCATTAGAAAAGCATTTTCTTTGTCCCTTCTTAGGCTCTCAGTTTTCCAAATTTAAGTACAAATTCTTAATTAAGGGCCTTTTCCCACTGCTGCTCACCACTTATCCTTGAGTCAATAGAGAATTGTAGCAGCCTGACCTTTAATATCCCCAATGCTGATAGCTACCCTGATTGCTTCTATTGCCTCTGCAGTTACTACAGCCTTCTGTATTTGTTCCAAAATAATGAGTGACAAATTGTACATAATTTGAGACTGTCCTTGAACAGTATTAGAAGAAAGGAGAAAAAGCTATTTTAACTTTTGTAAACTACTTAATAGCATCTCATAGACCAGGGGTCCCCAACCCCCGGTCCATGGACTGGCATCGGGCCACAGCATACCAGCAACTGGGCAGCTCAAACAAGTGAAGCCCCATCAATTGGATGTAGGGAGCATGCGAAACCATGCCCCCTCTGGTCCACAGAAAACTCTTTCTCCACAGAACCAGTCCCTGGTGCCCCAAAGGTTGGGGGCCTCTGTCATAGACATAGGAACTCCACAGAAAAAAAGAAACTGCTACCTGCTCAGATTGTGCTGTGGTTTAATAGAAAGTGGAAAAGACCCTCAAAGGGAAAATTTATCAGAGACTTCCCCTTAAAATCCCTTACTGAACTCCTCTGAAACCTCCTGTTAATCCCCATTTATTGTTACAGATATCCCTCATGAGATTATAGCAACTGTATCTGTACAAGCTGCATTGCTTTGACAGAAAAGAAGCTTCAAATAATCACCCAAGAACCATTATTACCATATAATATGAGACGGGAACATCCAGGCTGATCTTTCCCTCCATTGAGATAGTAATCAATGTGCCCCACGGGTATTCGGATACCAAAATCTAAAAAAAAAAAAACTGTGTTAGAATTTCTTTTAAAATGATGCAAGTATCTAGAGCAAAGCTGCAGCTGGAAGCACTGATCACACATATGTAGCTACATAGTGGCATGAAACACATCTTTCCACAAAATTTTTTTTTCCAGAATATTTCATCTAATTCTGTTCCAATTAGTGGCCAAGCAAATAAAAGAAAGCTAACTGTTGAAACACACAAAATATGCATTCATTTGAGCTGTGCAAAGTATTACAATTACTGATTAATTGCAAATTGTAAAATTCATTATGAAGAAGTTTGAACTTTGAAAGACTGAAGTTTTAAAAAAGGCAAAAAATCTCAATAGTTTCACAGTAACCGGGGGGGGGGGGNGGGGGGGGGGGGGACCCAAACCATTTGTGTGTCGGATCACCCCAACAATTGCAAAATACATTGCTCCTGGGATAGATGGAATAGCCGGGTCATAATTGTTCTCCTGAAATCCAAGAGACAAAGAATAGAGTGGATTTCTGTAGGGAGGATGTTCTAAAATTAGGGGCCGCTGCTGAGAATGTTTGTTTCCAAGGTCCTATCAGATGGCATCCCTAGACAGATGGGGCTTAGAAGATGTTTGATACTCTTTGATTTGATTAGATGAGCAGATGCATAGAAGAGAATATCTGAATCCTTAAAGGACCAGAAGCTGATTGGGAACCAGTGCAGTTCCAAAGGATTGGGTCACCCCGGTGTAACAAGATACCCCATCACAGCCCAGACCACTGCATTTTATACCAGCTTTATATTTCAAGTGCTTTTCCAGGCAGCCCATTTGTACAGCATTGACAATAATCTAAGCAGGAGGTGACTAGGGCATGACTATGAGCAAGAATTCCCAATTCTGGAATGATCACAATTAACACCCAAAATGTAATTTTACAAAAAAAAAAACAGCTTTGGGCCACAAAACCAAATGCTTCTTAAGCAGGAACAGGAGGAAACCTAGATTGCAAACCACTTCTGAGAGAGGGACTTCAACCCCATTCAGAGCACAAGGTAGTATAGTACTACCCTGGAATTGTTGGTCCATAAACCCAAAGTCAGCCCATCAGAAGAACTAAGATGAAATAGTATAGCTATGACACAGAAACAGCACCTATTATCTACAATTATTACCACATCTTAAAAAAATAGAAGCTAATAGTAAACAATGATTTTCAAGAAGGATACAAAAACAATTTTAGAAATGAATACACCTGAAATGTTACTGTCTTTAAAAAAAAAACACCCTGAAATATAATTGGAAAGCAGATCATTAGCTTACTATCCGAATCTGTGTGAATGGCTTCTACGAAGAGAGCATCCCCAGGATCCAGACGTTCCTCAGGGCTGGCTCTGGTGTATTTTGGCCCCGCTGGATCCAGAGCTGAAACATGATGATGAACAATAAGTGGCAACCAGTTACACTTTTGATTTGGTGAATTTGGAGGACAGCAAGTGATTGTGTGGTACAAGGTCACCTGAAATGGATCATTTGTGATTCAGAAGACAGAGCCTGAACTGTTGAAACATAATTGAACTTATGGCATTTTTCATAAGAAACAAAAACAATACTAAATTCTTCAATCATCATAATCCTTTATGTGTTGCTATTACTATTATTTTGTTTGAAAAAAGGTTTGAGAGATGGGATTAGGAAACAACCCAAATCACAATGAAAACATATCTTTGAATAAAATAGTAAAAAAAAAAGTCTCTTATTTATAGGACTTTTATTCAATACTATTGCTAAACCTCTACATCTATAATTATTGGGAACTGCTTAAATCTTTTGCAAAACCAACTAGTTGTTTTGTCAGCAAGATAGCCTAACAGAAGGTTGATCAAAGCTATAGAGCAAGATGGCACAATTTATTGAGAAATCTAAAAGGAACAAAATCTATATGACATTAATTATGTAATATACAAATGTCCACAATCTCTTTATTTTGAAAAAAAATATATTGCAGGACCTTTGGAACCTAATACAGGTTTTCTGCTAGAAATATTTCTCTGAGTTGTACTTTACTCCTGAAAGTGCTGTTTAATACAGTAGACACTTCCACAGGGGACAGATTTCATTCTGTTTGCGCCTTCCCATCTATGTAACTTTTGCAATGAGTTAGTCAGTTTTCCCTCCAATTGACCAAAAGTAGAATTCGCCTACTCTGACTCAAAGTTCCCCCACTTTCAACTGCCACAACACCTGCACTAACAAAATAAATAAATAAATCTCTTGCCTTGTCACCAAAAAAAAAAAGGAAAAAAGGTAGCCTGTCCATCAACATTTTCAGGACAAATTCCATATAAAAAGTCCAAATTAGGTCAAATTTTTTCAGATAAATAAGCTAGTATATTGATATCTTTCACGTAAATAAATTATTCAAGAACTATTTTTATTATCTCCTCTTTTTTTACATCAAGTTGCAGCTGATTGATTCCTAAATCCCACAATATGGCCTACAATTCTCTATCCCCTTCATAGTAATGTTCTCTCAGCGTGCCTCATTGTTTCACATTGGGTGCAGAACCACATTTTTTACATTTTCTCACCTTTCTCACCTCTTTGGCTAAAAGGACAAGCTCTCAAAGCTCTTCCAGTCAGATCAGCATGCCAAATAAGCTGCCTGCTTCATTTTGGGTCATTGACCTGCTGCTGTAGTCTCTCAGAGATTACAGAGATGGCACCTCTTGCCTACTGGGAAATCTTAATTTGCTAGGGGATGACTCTAAGAGTCAGATTAATGCCTGGGGAAGGTTTCACTGTTCTTTCCTATTTTTCATCCCTACCTCTAGGCTTTGAGGATCTCCTAAACTCCATTGTATAGTTCGGTCTGTCCCTCTGTTGGCTTCTTTCTCTAAGTCTATGCTCTTAATTGGTTTACATGATAGACCTTGGTCTTTGCATGCCACATATCTACTTTATCATTAAAAAGTCCATTTTCTGGATTATTGTAAGTGGGCTGTCAGAATCCAATCATATTTCATATCAAGTTAGCAACTATGAAAAACTCCATCCCTGCCTTCCCTGGATTCTGTCATGGATGAAGGGAAGGGGGTGAACAAAGGGGCTTTATGGCCCTCACTTCCTTCAGGATACTTCAAAGGAACTGGATGTGGAATCACCAAAAGGACTAACAATAACAATAGGGGGTCATTAGC